GGAAAGTGGCTCAAGAATACTCATTTTTTAACTTCTGTCACATTTCAATATATTGATTTTTCTAAGAAGGGTGGACTCCTAATCCTATTCGAAAAATTGACATATTTCAGTTAAAAATATTTTCAACACACTGACTCTTTCAAAAAAAACTTTTCTCACAGAACACCAGATGACTACACTCACAAAAATACCAGGTGATAAACTAGTTAGTTGATTTTCCAATGATGTCAACGAAAGATAGCTTTTTGTGTTTGAATTTTTGGGAAAGAAAGTTTCTGGCTTTCTACTACTCCATCTTTATACAAAAAAAGGATAAGGGAATCTTCCAAAGAAAGAAAGGAAGTAATCAATTTGAAAATAAGTAACTCTATACATGGTTGTGTAGATCATGCAAAAAAGTAATTTTCAGACACAAAATGAAAGAAAGTCCTCCTGAAACAGCTACTTTCATATAAATATTGAATTACACGAAAGAAAAAAATAGCTATTCATCTTCTGATGATGCTAACATGGTTAGAGAAACAGGAAATATATTTGTTCTGGTGTGGAAATATTGTTCTCAATAGATTCAACACACTGGATATGAATCTGAACATATTGATGTTTCTCTCTCAGTTATTCTTTTACGATAAGTATATATGAATGAAAAACATATCATTTTGTAATCATATCATTATTGAGTTTATAGATAATTTGGACGGCAATTAGGATTTTAATGCATTTTCAACGAAAGAACCAAAACCAACTCAATTTCGAAAAGTAATACCAGTATTGAAAATATTATATATGATGGAGTTGGCCGATACTTGATTCAAATCCATAACTAACGTATTCCATAACACTTCATTGTGAGATTTTCACTAAACGATTTTACAAAATTGCAACACGTGTTTCGCCAAACAATGGCTTCTTCGCGTGTGTCTTCACACGTTTGAAAATACTACATTTCAATCAAAATATTCATACTGAAAAAAAGGTCAAGAAGGTATATAATTGGTAAATAGACATATTCCTTGAGATTAGGCAGAACATTTTCGACGCTACCAATCGATATCCACTTGCATTTCTGTAAATTTTACATATTTCGAAGCATCATCCAACATAATTTTACAGGTCCCACTACCTACAAGGTTTCACGAAATATTTCATTCTTCGATATTTTCCAATTTCCTTTTCATATCCAAGTCATAACCATACGTTCAGTCGTAAAATATTTAGCTTCTTATGTTGCGAGATGAGGTAATTTCAGCTTTATATGTGTGTGAAAGTAAACATCAATTTCTTGAGAATGGGGTTTGGCGAGTTGTTTACGGACCTGAATATCAACAAATGGTTTTCCACCCAAGAAAAAACATTATAATGAAAGTATGAGACGAAACAATATTTGACACATCGAATGTTGATTGGCATAGTATGTTTGATTGATGTGACTTTATTAATGGTTTCAGAAATGTTTTTAGTGAAAATACTAACTGGATGGTGAAAGGTCGAATATGATGAAGTCAAGATACGCATATAGCTGACATTTCAAAAATTGAAGGAGGCACCAAAGTTCTGAACTTTATACTCCTCAGTTATAAATAGTAACAATTGATTGACTTCTACGTACACTGATTTGAACATATCATACAGTTTATCCATTCATATAACTTTCATAGGTCGTTTCAGAAAATATTATTTAGAATATTAATATCTGAATGTGGTATTTTATTTGTCATCCAAAATTCTAAATGATTAGACTAATTGTGGTGGAATACACAAAATTATTCGACTAACGTGTTATTTTTTCAGTTCAACACTTTCTTTGAGTAAGTTACTGCTCGGGAATGATTGTTGGGGAACAGTTTTTACGTGAATAATTTATAATATACACTTCTTCAGAATGGGCATTATTTTCAGAGAATCATCAATCTATTGCGTTTTCTAACTCATTTTGAATTAACTTTGCATATTAAGTTAAACGTCAAGTCATGATACAGAAGAATCAATTTCTAGAATTTCTCAACAGACAAATACGTTTCTCATTGAGAATAGATTTTCCATTACGTTACGATCTTCACTATTTTTTAGTTTAAATTCTCAAAAGAATATTTTCTGATGACATAAAACAAAAATTCTAATTACATGCCGAGAAATAATTCAAATAATATTGTTTTTATTGACACTTCACACTTTTATGTGAAGAGAAAGCAGATGCAGTTCTTCTCAGAAATTGTTCTCACCTATTTTCTGTTTGAAAGTACAAACTTTGTGGAAATATGATTCGCCAATTTATGATTCCAGGGCTCAAAAGTCCTGCATTTTTTGCCACACATTTCGCCACTGTCATTCCTTTGAACTTGGATATTCTTAACAAGAAACATTTTGAATGAAAAGTGGGTATGATGAGTATTCTTACGGAAACGAAGTTTCATAGTTTCAGTATAACTACCATTGAGTAATATAGCTAGGGGAGCTCCAGCTCAAAATTCCATGCTTTTTTTATAGCCCTTCATTCCAGCTATTTTCGGACCTCTGATCGGAACCTTGTGGAACACTCAAGTCGAGGTAGGTGTGGCGTAGCAGTCCCCACTCCTCTACTTCAGCTGTCATCCAGTCAACCATGATATTGAAATCATTAGAGAATGGACCGCATCTTTCAGAAATGGCAAGTAATGATAAAACTGTTTTGCTTTTAATCTCTAATGTGAAGGGTGGAACTGAAAGGTCTGTTTGACTCGCATTTCATCAACTAAGTTGGCGTCTACAGTTACATTTAACTCCTGAGTGTTTGGGGAAAGTGCTTGTATTTGAATTCATTTCACTCCAGAACTTTCAGTTCCACCCTGTATATTAGAGATGGAAAGCAAAACAGTTTCATTATTACTTGCAATTTCTGGAAGATGCGGTTGTTGCTTGATTCATTCTATAATGATTTCAGGATCAGTTTCCAGGTCTGCGGTAACTTCTGATTGGTCGACTGGATGACAGCAAAAGTGGAGGGGTGAGGACGACCACCTCACACCTACCTCGAGTTGGGTGTTACACAAGGTTCCGACCGGAGGTCCGAAAATCGCCAGAATGAAGCGCCATAAGAAAAAACATGAGATTTTGAGCTGGAACTTCCCTAGCTATATCACTACCCATAATGTAAAGCATTTGAAATACTTTGTGAGAGATCATATTTGACTCTTCCTGACACCTCAGGCTTTTAGATATTTTGAACACTTTATTGTAGATATTTATTTCACCTGGGTGGAATGGTTGGAAAAATCACCTGATAGCATGGCATAGAAGGTGACAATGTAAATTCAGATATATTGTCGTCTTGGTTGCACCATGTGAATAATAGAAAAGATGGGATGCGAATTGCTATTTTTAGATCATCGAATAACCTTACTCATGCGTATTCTGCAATAATTTTGCAAAACTGATTCTCAAGTCTTTCAGAAAGTTACACTGCGGTCCACTCACTTCAATTATTTATTGAGGAGAATTTCACTGACGCCCTTGGAAATTTTGGACCAAAAACACAACAGTGAATGAGGGAAAATGAAAGGCGCCTCGAAAATCTGTGGTATTGGCATCCTAGATCACCTGATTTGATCACCATATATTTTTTGCCTGAGGTGAAAGAAATGAAAGAGAGTCAGTGTTATTACATTATTCTCTTCAACAATAAAGAAAACTTTAAGGACTGAAGCCCAAAAACTAGACTTATTTCATAACTTTCGGAAGATCATTGAACATTTTTATTGATATCAATTGTAGTTCTGCAATGTGATGGCCTACCCATTGCCTTTACTATTTTATTTTTGCATATGAGTAAATCAAATATAATCATATTAAATTTTGATGCTTATGGTACATTAAATCTGTTAAATTAAATGTTTATTTGAGAAACCCTTTCAAATTTTCCGGCTCTTAGTGTAGAAGTAGTGAATCTGAAGTGCATTTTACCAAAACATTCTTCGTTGTAGTCAAACATTAACCTGTCAAGGGAATGTGATGAAGGGTTTAATATTCAGAATGAGCCCTGTAAAATATACTTCCTCCAACCTCAAGTAATCTAAATCAACTTCCTCTGAAACCACGTCTAGTTCATCTGATTCAAATGTCATTGTTTTTGTTTGAAAAATATTTTACTTATATTCGATAATGATTTTTATGATATTGACCTTAGCAGACGATGCCGTTGACACAAAAAATATGACAGTTTTTTCATCTGAATATTACTGGAGTTTTATCCCAAACCCAAACCGTTATTTTCAACACCTCCACACGTGTTTCAATCACCAAGAGATCACCATATGCAACTTCAATCTTCCTCTTGAAGATGAACTTGGTGATTGAAACACGTGTCGAGGGAATCACCATGTGCACGTTCAATCTTCCTCTTGAAGATGATCACTTGGTGATTGAAACACGTGTCGGGGTGATCATCATGTGCAATCACCATGTGCAAGTTCAATCTTCCTCTTAAAGATGATCCCTTGGTGATTGAAACACGTGTCGAAGTGATCACCACGTGCATTCACCATGTGCAATCACCATGTGCAAGTTTAATCTTTCTATTAAATATGAGCACTTGGTGACTGAAACACGTGTCGAGGTGATCACAATGTGCAATCATCATGTGCTAGTCCTATCTTCCTCTTGAAGATGATCACTTGGTGATTGAAATACGTGTAGATGTGATCACCATGTGCAAGTTCAATCTTCCTCTTGAAGATGAGTACATGGTGATTGAAACACGTGTCGAGGTGATCACCATGTGCAAGTTGAATCTTCCTCTTGAAGATAATCACTTGGTGATTTAAACACGTGTCGAGGTGATCACCATGTTCAAACACCATGTGTAGATTCAATCTTTCTCTTGAAGATGATAACTTGGTGATTCAAACACGTGTCGAGGTCAGCAAGTTGAATCTTCTTCTTGAAGATGATCACTTCACTTGGTGATTGAAACACGTGTCGAGATGTTAAAAATAACGGTTTGATGTTGGGATATAACTCCACTAATATTCATTACTACACGAAAGGTTCCAAACAGTGCATCCCAAATTTTCAATCTGATGTACTTTCGAACCAAAAAATTGAACAATCAACTGGTATCCTGTGAATACGATAAGTCTGATAATGCGTATTTTGATATTCGATATCACGATATTTTCTAATATGATGGAAATACTGCTATGGCTCAGATATATTAGAAAGGCAATAAAATGAACTATCTTAAAACATTATTGGTAAAATATAATTTGTAGTGGAAATATCAACCTTTGAATCAATCAATCACTTTGACATCTCGCCTTACCCTTTCTCAACCAACTTTCAACTCTTATCGTGTTTCTTGGTTGCGTCAAATATTTTCGGGCGTGGCCCCTTCTTCCTTGTGCTATTCCGGCCCTAACGTGAGCGCCTGAACTATTCGGGGATCGGCTTTGCTGCCCTCCCTGAACTCCTCCAGTGTGAGACGATCGTCGTGATTCTTATCCATCTGATCGAAAATCTTGTCAACCCGCTTCTGAGGTGTATTCTCGTCTTCGGATGGCTGCTGACCCTAGAGGAATAAATCGGGGGTTAATTGTCTGTGAATATGATTGCCACGCAGAAGTGTTATGGGGGACCTAGGAAAGGTTTGAGTTCAATTGTTTTCCTGAAACATTGAGATCGGATTATTGGGATGAGAAATCTAATGCAGGGTCGGACTAGGCCAGGAGACTCTTCACAAGCCTGGGGTAAAGGTGAATGGTATACTATCAGATAATGATGAGATATTATTAAGTAGCTGATGCCTGAAATTTTGTTCGTGTAGACTTCAATTTTTGGGTACTCGTAGATTAACCATCAACATTTTCTCTTATTCTTCTATTTTTGAGTATTTGTCCTTTTTAGTGAGTGACAGTGCCAACATCATAGCTACAGAATTAAAGACGCTACAGAATTAATCCACCACAATGGAGATCCGTCAGAGAGACGTAATTTGTCTGCAAATCTACTGATAGTGCTGTCGAGTAACAATTTTATGAAAATTCAAAGCCTTAGTATGGTAATGCTCTAGAAAATTGCCAAAAACGACTCTCCTCAATAGAAAGACCAGAAGTCTCTGGTCTGGATTCCTGTCCATACTGGCCTGGAAGGCAATGAGGCTGCTGACTCCCTTGCAAAGGAGGGTGCTACAAGCAGCTTCATCTGGCCAGAACTTGTCATTGGCATCGCTTTAGGCTTTGCCAAACAAAGATTGAACACCTGGATGGCCAGAAGATTTATGAATTTCAGGCAGAATGTTCCAGGATTGGCTCACTTCAAGGCGTTTATTCATCCTTTGCAGTTTGATACCAAACACTTGTTGGACTACAGTAGGGATGAACTACGATGTCTAACAGGCCTTCTCACAGGTTACTGTAATTTGAATCATCATATACAGAGACTCGGACTGCCGGAAGACAGTGTGTATCACCTCTGTTTGGAAAATGATGAAACAGCAGAACACACACTTCATGCCTGTTCCGCTTGTGACCGAATCAGGTTTTTAGAGTTCGGGAGAGCCTTACTCTCACCGTTTGACCTCAAAGACCACTCACTATACAAACTAATCGGCTTCGTTCAGAAGCTGGGTTTATTTGGTCGAGTATGAACAGGTTTGAACCACAATAAACCCTTCACGAGAACTTGAGTACATTTAGAAAGAGGCAACTAGGTCCAAGGAGGGACTACACATATACTCTTCCTGACACCTCAGGCTTTTAGATATTTTGAACNCTTTACGGAAATTAACTGATTATCGAGATTTCTGAAACAATTGATGATGATAACCGGTGCTCAACCATCTACCAAGAGTGTGGATCGGATATTTTTCTCCAGTATGATTCATCTGCATCTCACCAAGTTGATCTCGTTTCCTCAGTCCACATTTTTTTGAGGACTTATAAATTCAATAGTTAACTTTGTCTACTTCATTACCACTATTGGAAAGAGAAATTACTAACCCTAGTTATTTGAAGTATTGGTGAACTTTTTGAATGAAGAGTATCATTGGAAACGTGTATGAACCCCAGAGGTAGTACAATCAAGAAACGTAACCTTCATTTTTGATGAGAATCCACTATATATGATTTACCACTATGAATTTTCAACGTTTTGTATTAATCCACAATGAACCGAGGGTAAATTTTCGTTATGCAGACACCCGGCGATTTTGAAAAAAATTTTGACTGTACTTACGTATTTTGATGCGTAGATTACGAATCCGAAAGAATCATCGATCCATCTGCCCGTGAACGAGGTCACCAATGAAAAAAACTACACTGTAAGTTAATGGACTGAGACCTATGAAAAACTACTTTCCTGATTATTAACACCACGAAGCGAGTTTGAGGGCCTGAACGAATTGTTCTTTTAGATAATTTGTTCTATAGCCAGACTTCAAGTATATCCCTTTACTATATGTGAAATTTCGTCACCAGTTATGACCCTTTGGTGCAAATCTGGATCGTCATTGACGTCATTCAACAATCCCCAAGTGATGCTCATGCGACGGTTCTTCATGCTCAAAATTTCGAAAAAAATTGCATTTTATGAGCCAACCGAAATGCCGATATCCTCAGCAACTTCTGTAATAGTGATTCGACATTTTTCTGACTCTGAGTACAATCATGTCATTGTCAAAATTTCAAGTGTTTAATGATCTCCAGGTTCTTGTTGAAGAGATATATTCAATAATCTTCAATAATCTTTTGTTTTTGGGGTTTTCTGCGAATTGCAGAATTGGTAAATTTATCTTCTTTCATTTTCTTCACATTGATGTTTGGGCTAATAATGGAAAATCCGTTTGCTAGCTGAAATTTCAACAGACGATCTTGAAAATAAAATTTCTGATAATCAGTTGAATAATAGTTTCCCATACTGGTACAGATATGTAGACGATATCTTAGTCTGTTTTAGTGGTACAGGTAGACTGTTGGTCAAGTTAGTCGATTTAATAATTTCTTGCAACCATCCATCAAATTCACCACTGAAATGATGGTGAATATTTCAATGAATTCTCCAGACGTGACTTTCACGACTTTTCAATTTTCAAAAAATGATGCAATAGAATAAAATTATTAGTCATTGAGTAGATAGAATTTGAAAAACCTTACCCTTGAAGTCTTCTTTCCAGTATATTATATGGAAAATCGAAAAACAATAATATTTGATATGATTTTTATTGCGTATCGTCCAACCCATGCTACGAGCTGCACGTTGAAAGGTGAGGCCTCGTTAATCTTCAGCACCAGTTGGTTAGCGGACATATTTTCAACAGAAACGTTATGGAAATCATTTGCATCAGGAAGTCTGGTTATACATGGTGTTTCAAATTCGATTCTCACCATTGGGATCTCGGAAACTATGAGAGATACGAAGATGGTTAAATTGGGGCAAAAATGCGCATTCATCTTCTGACCATAAACTTCATTTTTCAGTGTACCCCATAAGAATGTATCCATAACACTTGAGTCTGGAGACCTTTCTGGCCACCTCACCGGCCCATTATTCCCTATCCATTTATCATCAAAACTTTCAGTCAGGTTATAAGATACTCGTCTGGTAGTGTGTGGTGGAGCACCATCATGTTGAAACCAGATGTTGTTATAGTTAGCCAAAGATAGATCATCCTAATAGACTTAGAGAATCGACATTAAAAACTGGTGAAAGCTTTCTCCATTCAGAATTTCGTCAAATAAATGAGGACCCAAAATTCTATCTTTGTAAATTCCTGCCCACACGTTAATACTAAATCGCACTTTAGGTCGAATTTCTCAGAACTGCCTGGGGTTGCTTATGCCCCAAATTTGTTCGTTATTTCGGTTGAATATCCCAAAATTCGTAAAAGTACTTACATCTGTCCAAATTATATTTTCCAGGAAAACAGGATAATCAGGTCTTCTCATTTGCCAATTACAAAATTCTAATCGCCTTTCGGGATCACCTGGATGCAATTTTTGAGATATGTGTATTTTGTAACATTTTTAACCGCTTTTTTTGAGATGTCTTCAAGCACTTGTATGACAAATATTCATTTCAGAGGAATTTTGACGTGTAGATATTAATTTTTGTTGAGAAGGACACAATGTCTAACTCAACTCAATTATCAAATTTTCTTTAGTTTCCTGGTCCATTATGTCCAAATGAACAAACAAATGATCCAATAATTTCAACATAGTTCGATGTGGTTGTCGTCTTTCGAGATACAAGTTTAGTTACATTTCTGATGTCCTAACACTGTTTCTATTGTATTTGTAATGAATTTGTATCATATATCTTTTTTCTTCATTCGTGAAAGCCATTTTTCGCCAAAGATTCAATGACTTGTACAATAACAAAATGTTATTGAGTGTAACAGTTGTTGATTGACAACTGAAACATTGGATGTAATACATGGTACTCTCCGATATCAGTCTGTTGCCATTTCGCCACTATCCAATTACCGACTCAACATCCACCGACTCCTTTCACAACTAACGTTATACCTTACATTTTAAGACCATCTAAAAAAATAAGACGAATTGGAAATAGGTATGATGTTAGAACTACTTTCAAAACAAAAAATACACTGAGATCTATACTCACCCATACAAAACACAACAATACTGAAGAAAAAACAGAAAATTGTATTTATGAAATACCTTGTTCTTGTGGTAGAAGTTACATTGGTGAAACCTCGAGACCATTGAAAGTGGGTGAGAATGAACATCGAGATTACATAAAAAATAGACAAATGACAGGATCAAAATTGTCAGAACACATTTTAAAATCAGACGGTGAACATCGAGTTGAATGGAATAGGACAAGAATGATTACCAATGAGCCTCAATCTAAGAGACGTAAGCTAAAAGAATCAGCGAATATTCTCATGTCTGGAGAGAATTGTATTTCGCATAGCTCCTTAGAAATAGACCGTACTTGGCTACCTATATTGATGAAAAATTGGATAGTGGCGAAAAGGCAACAGACTGATATCGGAGGGTACCTTGAAATACATCGAATGTTTCAGTTGTCAATCAACAACATTGACATAATTTCATATTTCGGAACTCCTTTGACATCTGTCGAAGAAGTAAAGGAATAAAGAATCAAAAAGGAATAACTGCGAATATATAGATTTTTTTTTGTCCATTTCTGAAGACAGAGGCAGATTTGGGCCTCCGAAACGTGAAAGATAAGTATTGTATTATTTCTTAACGATTTTTTTTTATAGGCAAAATTGTTAAATACGACAAGTTACTGATAAATAAAAGAGTTTTCTTTGTGAAAAATACTTTGATTTTTACGCAGTAACTTATCGGGGTAAACTAAAAAGTTTGCCCTTCTACACTTGTATAAAGTTCTCCATTATAATTTTTATATTTTCCAGATTGTGGAAGGTAACAAATACCCAAAAAAGGTCGATAAAAAACTGAAAATTCTTATTTTTTTCATTCGAGTCAGTGACAAATTTATACCACCGATTTTGAAAGTGAAGGGTGATTCTATATATCTCCGACAAAAAAAAATATCTACCACTGATATTTCATTGTT